TCGGTAGACGAACTGCAACCCAGATACTGAACGATATTCGGGTGTCGAAGGTCGCGGAGCAGACTGATTTCCCGCTTAAGGGCCTCGATCATGCTCTTCTTGCGTGCGTCGTTTTGGCTGTTGGCGCCCGGAGCGGGCGCCTCGACCTGCTTGACGGCAAGAAGCTCACCGGTCACGGCATGCAGGGCGAGGTAGACACAACCGAAGGAGCCTTGACCGATGAGGGCTCCCTTCATCCACTTGTCGTCAGACCAGGACTCTCCTGCGAGGAAGCTCTCGAGCTCCTCGTCGGCGTCCTCGCCGTCTTCATTGAGCGCCGCCGTAAGATCTTTGAGGGAACCTGAACCCGTTGAGCCGTCGGTCTCGAAGTAGCTTCGCCGCGTAACGTTACCTTCGGGGTCCGTCACGCTGAGAGCGGCTGCACTAGCACCGTCGGAGCTGTCGGCGAATGACACGTAGGACTTGCGGTTCGGTTCGACAGGCGACTCCTCTTGCAAGGTGTCGAGCATTGAAGAGGCGACGGAGTCGCGGAAGTGGGTGACCCGCAGGCCTGATCGCGCCTTGGGAGCACTACCGGCGTGGAGCCAGCTGTCAGCGATGGTCGGAATAGGGGGTGCATCTTGGATGCTAGACGCGAAGCTGAGGTTGCTAGCCACACTCAGACGGCTGTTGACCTTGCTCAGACGGGTTGATCTTCTCATGGACAGACGAGCGGTCCTGTCAATCTCCTCTCTGGGATGATCCGGGAAATAAGATGTGAGGTCCGAGGCGATGAGCTCGCTGGGAGGACGCAACCCGCCAAACGACCGCAAGATGCCCTTATTCCTCCTGGGTCCGCCGGCAGATCTTGGGCCGTCGTTGGATGCGGGGCGCTCCAGCTCCTTGGCGGTATTGTACACGTTGCGCTCCCGGTCGTGGAAAGAGACCGGTGAAAGAGGATGTTGCAGCTCGTCGTTCCATCTCTCACCCAGAAGCTTTTGCACCTTCATCTGGCTTCTCTTATCCACAGTCTCGAGGGCGCGGCTGTGATTTTGCTGCGCCTCCTCAATGGCGATGCCCGCTGCTCTCTCGAGCTCGGGCATGCCTGGCTCACCAGCAGGGACACGGCGAAGAATCAGGCGATTCCGTTCAGGACGTTTCTGGTCCTTGATAATCCGCCACAACTCCGTATCGCCGAGTCGCCGGCACTGGTTCGGGTCTGGCTCAATGCCGGCCAGTACCCAGAAGCAGTAGTTCCTCTCATGATCCTCTCGTAGTGCAAACTTCCTAAGGGTGACTCGCATGACCTCCTCACACGTGTTGCAGTCGGCGATTTTGACGACCTTTGTGACTCCTCCGGTGGAAATGACGCGAATAACATCCTGATTCTGCGGTAAGCCAGCCATCAGTGAACCATCCATACTGGAGTTATTCCTGGTATGGGAAGTTACCAATCGGCCGGTCTGGGGGACGGATTGCCCGGCGCTACTCACATAGCCGGGACTTTGGCCATATCTTGTTCGCAGAGGGCGGATGGCATCCGTGCCGGGAAGGGGTGAGTTGGGACGGGAAGAAGCGCTCTCCAGGGGAAGGGAGTCGTATTGTCTGGAGTAGCGCTTGTTCATGGAAGGCGTGGGCGCGGTACGAGCACTTGAAGCAGATGGTCGAGAAGACCCGCCCGACGACGGGGTGAATTGGTCGAGGCCACCGAACGAGTCCTGCAGTGGTCAAATGTCAGCTGTGTTACCCATTGCTGACGGCATATGACGGTGCCGCGAGAGGAGAAGCCGGTCTTGCACGTACCCTATTCCGTTTCTTCTGGTTGGCGTAGGCCTTTGTCCTCAACTTCTTAATGCCCAGGAACAGTCGCACGCGGTCGCCGACCTTTTCGATGCCCATCTCCTTGAGGACATCCTTGTCGAGCTCGAGGAGGTTCTCGCCATTGATGTGGTTTTTACGGAAGAGCTTCTCGTACTCGCCGCATTTGACGCTCCTCAAATAGTCGCAGACCTTGTCCTCGTCCCAGTTCTTGACGGCATCGGGGCCATCGCTCTCGGAGAATTCGGATTCGGTCGGGCTGGCGTAGGCTGTGGACTGGTTCGAGATCGTGGGTGCCCGTCTTGAGGGCGGTGCGGCACCGGTAGAAACGCTAGAAACCATGGGATTGCTGGAGCCCAGCGGTGCCGGGAATGCGGTTTTGGGGGCCAGCATTGCCATCTTGTAATTGTGATACGTCAGGTGGACATTGACTGAAGTGAAGTTGACGTGGTCGATGGCGGTGGTGATCGCGGGAGGGGTTTGTCTCAGCTGCCTCTCCTGGAGCGCGTCGTGCCGAGAGAGGATTCCGTCAGGCAGGTTTCCGAGACAGGGAACAAGGCGTCGGGCCGGATGCGATAGAAGCGAAGAAGCTGCGATATAGCGAAAATGTGGAATGTAAGTGTCTCTCGCTGGATCTGAGTTGGAGAATGTCGAGCCTCTTCAGTGCCGGACCGTAAAGGCCTGGTTTCTGCTTGGAGACGCAGAGGAGGGAATTTGGTGAGGGCGAATGTCGTGTGTGGAATTACGGGTACTTCGGCCGGGAGGGAAAAAGAGGAGGGAAGGGGAGGGTTAATGATGGATTTTGGGGGTGCAGGGGACTTGCACTTGAGAGCCAGCGGCAGGGAGGGGTGTGTGAGTGGTGCAGGTGTAAGCAGCCTCAGAGGTATCTTCACACACGAGTTGGGATGCGAGATACTTCATCTACGGGTGGGCAGCAAGCACCACCACAGAGACTCTACCTGAGGTGAGCGACCACAGACCATACAGCAGGGGGCAAGGCCAGAAGAGGGGAGGGCGGCAACAAGCTTCCAATGCTGCTTCTTCCTTTGTCACTTTGTGTGCTGTCGCAGCAGTCCGTGAAAGGAAATGGACTTGGCTGAGGCTCCAATGCAAAGAGGGATCTCTCTGAGGTGCTGTGTGTGTACAACCTTGGAACAACGGACGGTATCACTGTATAGCAAAGCAAAGCAAAGCTGAGCTACAAAACACGAGATTTACAGGCCGCACAGTCCTCGCAACGGCCCTGATGCGTCTGTTCGCTTGAGGCAGAAACTTGGGGGAAACAAACACACTCGAGAAGCTTTCCGCAGAGTCTGCCCTTGAGTCTTGGGCTTTTAGCCACTGTGACAGAGAGAGAAAGGCAACGTTGCAAAGGGGTACGACGACGATGAGGCGTACGGCAAGGTTTTGTTCGCGTTGTTTGAGGTCTGGTCTTTTGACGTATTGTTCAGCTATCCCCTGGTCTTCTTCGTCACCGAGTCTTTGGGTACGGAGTAGTGTTTCTTCATTTTGCTTGGGCATGTTATCTACCTGCCATACGCAGTACAGGCTTACACAGTACTTCGAAGAGGCTTACTATGTGTGCTAGCAATGTGTCCCAAGATGCCGTCAAAGAGCCTCCATTTCTGGCCAACTTGCCCGGTTCCCTCGGGTTTGCGGTCCACTCAAGAGCGACATTACACGGCAAAATGGCACGTCGATTCAACAAGGTTTTCGCTGGCCAAAGGCTTCTTCTGTTTCTCTCTCCTCTCCTTCCACGATGAGTCTCAGGCGCGATGGCGGATCATGGATGGAGTAGCCAAGCCCCTGTATGCACCCTTGGCAACATGGCAACCTTTAAAAGGGCGTTTGCAAGGGTATGGCGACGGCGGCGGCTTCATGAAACTGGCTCAAGCAGGGTCAACGCCGCACGTCCCCACCCAAACTTTGGCTCTGCAGCGGCACCTGCCCTCCTCAGTCAGTACCTGCCCTGAGCTGTCGTGACTCCTCATTAGCACTTGCCCTTACTGCTTGACTGCCCAGTCAGTACTTTCCAAGCGCATTTTACTGCCCATCACTGAGGAAGGTACTCTAGGTAGAAAGACTCTGGAGCGTGCCTTCCCATGCTTCCAACCAGAAACATGGACAATGTACCTGAGGAAGTCCTGAGGAATTACACAGCCGTGAGCCGTCTTCCCCCCCCCCCCGAAACGTCCCCAGTATCCCCCAATGTGTCCCCAACGTGTAATTTGCCCTCCTCAATGCGCCGTCATGCAACCCCCGCCGCCTGGCCAATCGCCGCCAAGTCGATATCTCGTGTTCTTGTATTGCAGTGTGCCACAAGAGACCCTCTCGTGCTTCTGATGCATCACGGCCTGTTCATCATGACGACCACACACATTAGAGCCTGCAGGGACTCTGAGAAGAAAAGAGGTGCAACAAAATAGCAACCACGTCCAGCCACGGAGTCCGTGAACAGTGGCAGATGGGCGGGTGGTAGTTTGTTTATTCAGTTGTGCCGACCAAGCTCAAGTTGTTCTTCAAACAAATCAGAGAACACCCCGGCTTCTCGCTCACCTCTGGAACAATCCTACACGCGCCCATCCGAGTCTTTCTCTGCTATTCTTGGCCCGTCAGCAAACCCGCTTGGTTGCGCGCGCCGCCCGCCCCTTGCTTGCAAGACTGTTCCTATTCAAAGCCTCAGACTCTGTTCGCCAAAGCCACGTCACGGCGCCTCTCTTCGGACCTCGACCGCCCTTGACTCCCGACAAAGATGGGATGCAATTTCCTCTGGAACACAATCTTCCACAACGATGGCTTCGGCCATACCATGAAAGCCACCGAGGCGTACGAATACCGAGTGGTTAGTAGCCACGCCATCATGCACGGCCTCGCCTCCGTGGTGCCAGACGTCGTCTTATCGTCAGCCTACCCGTAACCCGCCCGCAGAGGCCTGCTCACGATCCCTTCTCGGGTGCAAGTGACAAGGCGGCCCGCCAAACGTACACGTTGGCATGCCATGTTCCGTGGTCTCTTCTATCCATCCGGATACACACCATGGCCCGGCATGAGCTCTCCACAACAATACCCGGCTCCTGGGAGGAGGTCACCGTCGCAACCGGACGCTGTCAACAACAAGAGCTTGTCCGTCTCGCCCGGATCACGAGAGGGTCAGAGATCCCCGCTGCGATGATACCTCCGCCGGTTCCACTCTGCTTGGGACGATGACACGATTACACGATAGGCGAAGATTGGTTTTGCCGCTGACCAACAGGCGGAGATCTGGTCTGTTGAATGGACGCCATACAATGGAGCCGACTCCTTGCGACGTGACAGGCCTAACGAGCAGACCAACACACCCTGATAATTTGGCTGCAATCCCCTATTTGCTTTCTCAGCTTGCCAGGAGGAGCAGGTCGCCACCAACCATCGTGAACTACCTATCAACGAACCAAGAGGTGCCCGCTAGGGAAGTCAAGCGTAAGCTGTTCGCCGAGGACAGCACAACAGAACTGCAGTAGTTCACAGTGATAAGGCCGGTGGAAGATTCGCAGAGGCCGGCAGCATGGCCTGCGTCCACCGGTGATTGGCTCCGGCGCACTCCCGCACTCAACTCGGGGCTGGATCGCTTGAAACCAGTCGTGTCGCACGTCTCGACACCCTCTCCGCTGCCCTGCATCCCTGGTTTCCCTCCTCTGGGCGCCAATATCCCGCCGTGTCTTCGCTGCTCCTTCGTTGGACACCAGGGACTACCAAGACTTGACCACCACGGCACCACTGCGCTTCATTACTTCACCAGTCTCCATATGGGAATTGGCTCGCAAGACTGGGGGAACTCGGGGGAGCTACGGAGCGTCCTTTCTACTTACCTTTCGGCGTTGGCGCCCCCTCAGATTAATTAACACGGCGACGCCAGTCTGAGCCCAAGGCACGTCTAACGTGGAGAGGGCGTTCACCGTCACTTTGCGCATCGTGGATCATCCCGGCTGGGCCTCACCCCTTCCAGAGCCTCTTTGCCTTCTTTGGCACATCTTGAGCCAATCACCTACATTGTCATTTCGAGCCGCCTTTTGACTTTTCTCTGCTTGTAAGAGGCGCCATGTGACACACAGCTGAGCTCTGGACGGCGCACTTATTGCTGTGACACCTCTGAATACTACGAAAACTCAGGGCTAGGAGACATCACAATGTTCACCTGACATGTGTGTACACAGAGTACAGATGTACGTCACCTTTCTTTTTCCTGCAACCTTTTGACCCACGGTCTGCGAAATTGACAGTGCTGAGGTGCCATTCATTCCACGGCATGTTGGTGGATTTGGTTACGCCACCGCTGCTATTTTGGAAAGATACGCAGCCGTTTGTGCCGTCGTCGCACAGAAGGACGCGCAGGGCACCTCATGCTTATCCCCATCTGCTCCTGATGCTGATTCTTCGGCGAAAGCAGTCCGCGACTGTGGGGACATGCAGTGACTGCAGTCATGCGAAGGAAATGAGTTATGGCCCGATCACCGCTTGGTCGCCACCCAAGGAGAGGGGAACACATACGGTCAACCAAGACTTGGCATTTGCCGACACAGATGACTCCTTGAAAACTGACGATATTCCCAAATATGTCCCCTAGAGCGCGCCGCTCACGTTTCAGACCAGACCGCCTGGAAACCATCCAAAAAGGGTGTGTTCTTCTGCAGAGCAATCCTAGATCCGGCCGTCTGGTCAGCTAAAATGGAGTGCCAACGTGGCCTGGTCAGAGCGGGCGTCAACAAGCCTGAAACATGAAACCTTGGAAGATCTGCCTTGCATATATCTCGTTGCGGTACAAACATTTCGGCCTGGTGCTAATCCCCCTCATTCAGAGAAAGCCATCGGTCCTAGCCACGCTGCCACTCTGCAATAAGCGATGGAGATCGGCTTGTGGGAAGGTCTTCTCCCGGCGCGCCGGCACCTCACTACCCTTCCTAGCTGCTCATCACGGACGACGACCCTTGCTGCTTCTGCTTGAGCCTTGTCGTGTCGTTCAAACTTGACGTCGTCAGCCGTGGCTTGTGTGACCTTTGACCGGTGGCCTTCCACGTGGACAGGGTTCCAAAGAAACAGAAACATGTTGAAAGACCAAGATGAGGCCACGACCGCCTTGTCGTCGCAACTAACACTACTCGCGATGAACTTTCGAACTCGTATCGTGGTCTACGGAACGGGACCGAGACCGAAGGAGTCGCTTGCTGCCTCCGTGTTGCTATGAAAGCTACGGGGTAACTTTCACCACTGTCCCAGCATTCCCTGCTCCTTTCCAAAGGCCCGGTTCAAAGCAGCTATTGCGCCATAGATGCCGTGCTTCACCCCTGCAGCAGATTCGAAGCATCACAGCAGCATGAACATTGCAGCTTGTGAAAGACGGGGTTTTCGCAGAGAGTCTGAGAAGGAAAGAAAAAAGTCTACTCGAAATTGAAGGGGAGTAGAGTTGCGACGAACTCCCAGCTGGGATTGGTGCGGAAACGCTAAAAAATCCAATCAGGCACGCCAGGATGCGCCACTTACCGCCAGCTTCGGACGAAGTCCATGCTCCACACAGCTCCGCCGCCACCGCCGCCCCCGCCACGGCAACCATGAGTTCCTATTTCGGCACTGTCGGCAAGTCGGCCTGTCGGGCGGGTCGCCGGTCCCCGCATGGACGGCTATCGGCTTGGCCATCTGCCCGGCATCAACGGAGAAAGAGGAGTCTCGGGCTCCGGAAGGTTTGCGGCCTGAGCATAACGACGCCGTTCCGGGCGCATGACGCTGCGGCGCTCTTGACTCAACCGTCGTTTCGTGTTTCTCGTGTACGCGGGCTCATCGGGATGGCTGACGAGAGAGAGGTTTTGCGGACAGGACGAGTCTCTGTCTCCTAGCATTATCGTCGTCAGTCTTCCAGTGGTTCCGTCTGAGTCTCGACAGTATCCTTTCATCTCGTTCAGAGAACTTGTCATCACAAAAACGCAAAACTCATTCTGTTTCAAGTACAAGGTCTCGTGATGCCGCCATTGTGGTTGCTGACTGATTGACGTGTTGATGCTTAGCTGATGGGTGAAGCGACTTGGCCGGTGCTAGATGAGCAACACCCTGTGACGGCAAGGACGCCAGACCAGCGTGAGCAATCAAACATGTCGTCATCTTATCTAGGGCCTCCTATCAAGGACCGGCGAGCTATCAGGACTACTTCACTGGGAAGAAACACATTTCCTTGGAAATGGCGGGGCGTGACGGTGTTGTGTATGATAAGACACGGACGGCAGTCGGCCGGCTGAAGATATGAGCGGCAGTCAAGGGTGACCGCCTTTGCTAATAGTCCGATAGCCCCCTTTCGCTACTGAGACCGCTGTGATATCATCTACGTCCAATGTTGTCGCAGACATACACACGGCAGCCGAAGACTTTTGGTCTGATACACTGGCAAGCACACCTCACGAGACCAGAACGATCGTCGGAATTGAGCACACGCTTAAAGCGTGTTGTGCATACCAACGCAGAGTGAAAGTACCAACAAGGAGACACCCTCGACATACGCACATGACCCAAGTTGTTAATGTCAGAGCTGGATTTTCTTGAGCGACGGACGATCCGCTGTCAGTCCTAAGGCGGCTGACCCGAAGGAGACAACTTTTTGAGCTGTGTCTCGTCCATGGTGAGTTTACTGTCATGGAGCGGCTACCACGACGGCAAACTTGCCATCGCAGTATATCCAAAAAATGAGCATGGCTGACCACGACTGCTCAACAGGTAAACCAAATCGTCGACTCCAAGACGGCGAGTTGGCAAAGGTCGCAAATGTCTTAGTCGTGCCGGGCCCGGCATTTGCTCATCGGCGAGTGGAGCATCTTCCCCATGCCCCGCGGGAGCAACCCCTCCCCCTTCTAGCCAGGAAAAAAAAAGCCCAATCCACCACTCAACCTCCGATATCGACGACGACCACCACCACCACAACGTCTAAACTTCTGACAGCCCCGTTGGTCGTCGACTTTGCGCCCCCAGCAATTGTAGGACACGCGCAGATCAGTCATCGAATTCGGCTTCGTATTCGAGATAGTACAAGAAAGCCGTCTTTTGTGTTCTGCAGCAATCGACCGCGCCAAGGTGCGACCCCGACGCAGCTACCCGGAATCCGGAAATAAAGGGCCCCTCCTTTTGCTCCTCCTCCTCATCATCATCCTCGTCCGCCGACTTCCACGGCCACGCAGACGACTTCTGTGCGTGTGTGTCTAAGCATTCTCGGACGAATAATCATCCACGGCTCATCGCACTGCTCAATTTTGAAAGCCTCCTCCAAATCTACGCTCACGTGCTTTGATCCGCCCTTCATCGAGACTTTTTCGTCACATCACGATCCAACCATGAGTGACAAGTCTCAGGTTTCGGCGGAGGCTGCAGGCGGAGGAGTCAAGCCTCTGGTGGGCTTCTTGGGCCCCCAGGCCTCGTACACGCACCAGGTAGGTACCACGAACCTGAAGAAAAGAGATCACACCTCGCACGGCATATGCCAAGTGTGGTGAGACTTGTCAATCATCTCTAACTTTTTGCATCGCAGGCTTCGTTACAGGCCTTCCCAGAAGATGAATGGGATCTGAGACCCGTTGTCAATATCACAGGCACGTAACTCACCACCCTTTTTCTTCATTATGTCGTCTCTGCTGTTCTTGGCACCCACCCCCTTTTCTCATTCTCTCTATTTTTCGTTCCTGCGCCGTGCCGTGTGCTATCTCCCGTCTGACTTGAATCGGAACGTCCATCAGACATCTTCGAGGTCGTACAAGCCGGCGAGGTCGCTTTTGGCGTCGTTCCCGTCGAGAACTCCACCAATGGGTCCGTCCTATTCACGCTGGACAACTTTGCCGACCGCAACGGCTTGTACCCAGACATTTCGGTCTGCGGCGAGATCTACCTCGACGTGCACCACTTTCTTGTCGGCCGCCGTCCGGACCCGGCTCACGACGCCGCCGCCGGTCCGGGACTACGGGGAGGAGACGAAGGCTCCGGCGCCTGCACGCCGACGGCGTCGGACCCGAACCCGCTGAAGCCGCGGACGAAGCCGCTGTGTAGCCTCAAGCACGTCCGGCGCCTGTACTCGCACCCGCAGGCGTGGGGCCAGTGCGTCGCCTTCTTGCAGACGTATCTCAAGGGCATCGAGGCCATCGACGTTAGCTCGACGAGTCGCGCGGCGGAGCTGGTCAGCCTGGACGAGACGGGGACGAGCGCCGCCATCTCGAGCGAGATCGCGGCGGGTATGCACGGCATCGACGTGCTCGCGCGGACGATCGAGGATCGCGAGGACAACACGACGCGATTCTTCATCATCCGAAAGGGGCTGGACGAGAAGCAAAAGATGCCAGGCCACTGCGTGAAACCAAAGACGAAGACAAAGTCCATGGTGTCGTTCACGGTCCCGCACGAGGCTCCCGGCGCGCTGGCGGACGTGTTGGAGTGTTTCCGGCGCTACGGGACGAATCTCACGAGCATCAACAGCCGGCCGAGCCTGACGGCGCCGTTCAACTATGTCTTCTTCGTCGAGTTTGAGGGGCACCGGTTCCGGGATCCGGAGGCGAGGGTCAAGGGGGCGCTGGACGGGGTGGCTCGGGTGGCGGAGAGATGGCGGTGGCTTGGGAGCTGGGAGGACCAGCGGTCGTGAGAGGGGGAGGGACTGGCTGGTGGTCTTCCCCTCCCTTCCTCGTGACTTGGCTTGCGGTCTCTCTCTCTCTTTCACTCTCTATCTCTCTGTCTGGCTTCTAGGCCCTGGACTATTCCCCTTGCCTGATTCACCTTCGGCAACTCTATGGATGTCGGTGTTGGCGACGGCCGTCTCTGGCGACTGCCGATGATCCCTGAGCAAAACGTTGACATGGCACGCGGGACATGCTTCGAGGCTACATCTGGTCTACATGCCAAATACTGAGAGGTTTTGCGGTACTGCGGCCTACAAAGGGCCACGAAAGGGGAAACGGGGCGAGTGGGCGGGCACGCCATGCTATTGCTGGGAACACACAAGGGGAGTCTATTGGACGGAACAGGCCTGGACTGGCTGACGACATCGCAACTAATGTCGATTCGAGATAAGGAGGTGCATTGTGAGGGCTGGAACCAGGTCACCAGGACCCTCCAGGAGCGTGGGAGCGTGGGATGACTGAACTGTCCCTTTCTTCGGTCCCCTTAGCCATTGTGTAATGGAAACGCAGCAAAATGCCACCGCGGAACGAAAAAAGTCTTCCCGTCGTCCGTCTTTCTGAGGCGTTTTACCTCCTGTTTTTGCCTCTTCAACCCTGGTTATATGCTGAGTCGACTCATGGATACATTGGAATGGTCTGAAAATGCCTCTTCCGACCCTGGCTCTGTGATGGAGCGATGGATACCTGGGAAGGTCTAAGATGAGCCTTTGATGGCCGAGTCTTCACGCCGAGCTGGTGGCGTTGTGAGACCTGGTTTATGGTTCAATCGTGACAAGAGGAAAAAGGGGGCCGACAACGATGACGAGAAGGACCCTCCTATTGTCCATGGTTACGGATGAGTTGTCATATGCAGAGCTTTTCCAACCCACGCAAGAGTTGGTGAAGGAGAAAAGCGACGGATCAATCGCTACAGCTCGAGCTACATGTGATGGTCTCAAGAGAGAACGTGAGCGAGATGAGAGCAGAGAGAGGGCTGGTCGCGTGCCCTATGTCCGAATGTCTCACAACGCCCGTCCGGCTACATTCATGGCTACGGCCACACACGCACCCTCCCAAAAGGTCAGCCAACAAGATGAGCAGATTTGCCAAGCAAGCCTGATTATCTATCGTCTGGGTCCTTCTTACAATGTGCTGGCTGTCGTGAAGGATGGAGACCAAGGAGTAGAGCCAAAGTTAGTTTCGCGAAGCTCTGTACTGGGTGTGGAAGGGGTCAAAAAGCTCTTGCAACTGTTTAGCGTGGTGCGGAAGGGGGTGACCTGGAGTTGTCGGGGTTGCCAGAAGCTCTAGGAAGCTCTGCGAAGCTCTTGCAACTTGTTGAGGTGCACCTGCTCTGTCTGCCGTGCACTTGCACACGCACACACACACAGAGCTGAACCCCTCTTTCCTGTCTAGTTTGACTTTCCCCCCTCCTCCCTCAACGGACCGGTCCATGTCCGTTTCTTGTTGGATGTCTTTTTTCTTGTGTGGTCTTTGCCTTTTTTCTGCCCGTCCGCCGGTCGGTGAGATTCTTCTGGTGGTGGATCGGCAACTCCACGTCCATTACGTCCAAATTACATGGACAAGACGTGCTGAAATCGCAGCACTTGCAGGACCCCTGGTTGATATGGTCTGTTGTTGAATGGCGACCAAAGTTTGGTCCTGGATCTGGGCTGTTTTCTCTCTGAATACTTACCTCTTCTCATTTTTCTTGTTGGCTCTGTTTTCTCATCCGACTCCTCATACCCAGATGCCGAGTATCTGCCGTCGCAGTCACAAAAGGGCCAGGCCGAGGTTTTTCGACATGTCGCCAGATGGAGCTCAGCTGGAGCACAATGATGCTCGTCGCTGGATCCCGCGCGAGATGGGCCCACACGACGACACACATTCCGCCGCGGAACGTCTCCATTTGCCCTGCTTTTTTCTGGGGTCTCTTTCTTCTCTTTGAGTTGGTGACTTTCCTAACGGGACCCATTCGGGAACTTCCCTGGGGCCTTGATGCCATGGCCGAGTGAAAACTTGCGTAAGAAAAGTACCCACGCTATGCAAGTGTCCAGATTCCCGCAAAATACCCTTTTTTTTTTATCGCGTCTCTTGCGTCTGCCATATTGTGTACTGTACCTATGTGCATGCTGCTTGCTGCACGCAAAAACACAGAGTTTTTTTCCCAGCTTGTCCCATCCGACAAAAGCGGGCTTGCAACACTCGGCAGACTTTTAGTGCTGCTGGGGGCGCAGAGGCGCCTGTGTTGCAATTGGTGTGTGCCGGATCAATTCCTTGTGCTATGACGTGTAGTGCGCGTAGTAAGACAAGGTTCGCACCGCGAGGAAGGATGGGAAAAAAGAATACACTGACGCCTTCCCCATCCGAAGAATACCTCATTGCTCAGTCAGTAGAAAGGTGTGAGGAAGTATCCAAAGGCAAAGGTATCCGTACGCAGTAGGGCAAGTACCAGAGCTGAACCGTCTGGTCTCTGGACGAGGTATCTTTGGTGTGTTTCCTGTCCGATTTCACACTGCTTTCCGCCCGTTAACGTGGATGAGAGAGTACTTTCGTCTTACCCGACTTATACTTGCCCATCTACTTGTTGGTGTTCCCTCTTCTCCCACAATTCAAATGTCCCGAGTTGCAGCAAGGCTCAACCCAAGTGGGTGAAGTGTGGACATGGCCACACACATCCTTTCGGTACCAAGTACCGTACCCTCTCTTCCTGTTCGGCTGTTCCCTACCACCACTCCATCTTCTTTGCTCTCTTTCTCGCTCTCATCCCGTCCGAAGGGAGGGGCGGGCTCACCGGGCACCGTGCTGGCCCATGGTCCAGACGCAACAAGTACGCAGTTAGTAACTCTACGTACCTTTTGTTTATCGTCTGGTCCGACGGCTGTCGGTCCAAGGCAGTCGGACCTGGACATGAGAGGCGTAGACAGTAGGAAAAGTGGTAGTGAATAGGCAAAGGAACGGCAGCGGCGCGAGGGATCGAGTGAGGAGCGGTTGCCGTTGCCGTGGACTGGACCGTAGAAGCGGGAGTTGCAGAGCTTCTGGGAAAGCTGAACCATGAAGGGGGGGAAGAAGGACCAAACGATTTATAACCAGCTTCTCCCTCTCCCCCTCCCTCCTCGTCCCTCTTCGATTTCGCCATCGATACCTTGTTATTTCGACATTTACGATCTCCTACATCCAACATTTTTGTTGTTTAGACATCGCGACAAGAGCTTCTCACAACCAGGTGCCAATTAAGACACCAAGAAGCTCTGCAACTTTGGTTCCTTGCCTACCCGTTACCCGTTCACCCCTTGCCGGATTCCATCATCCGTCTTCCCCGTCGGCGGTTGTTCCAAATTCCAGCAAATCCCATAGGATAATTCCCCATCTTTGCTGCTGAGGTGCTTCATCATGGCCATCACGCCTTCGAAGCCAATCTTCTGCGCGACCCACCCCAGGGCCTGCTCAACAGCCTTTGAGAGAGTGAGATTTCCCAATCCCATAACGCCTGTTGGCTTGTTTCTGGCACTGCTCGTTCCTCCCTGGGTGTCTGCTCTGGGACACGAGCGAGCACGCAATCCCGCCGGACCCCAAAAACGGACAAGGTTCAGGGTGCCTGAATCGTTCCTTTTGGGGGGGAAGAGAGACGGCCTGGCGGGAAGAGAGAGAAGGGAGGAGCCTGTGGTGTTGAGCGAATTACCACGGGTTCATTCGTTCTGCTTGTGCAACGAAACCACCATCAGCTCGCTGCTGGGGTTACTTCTGTACAGCGAGCGCCATGTGAAGAAGAGCAGGATTAGCTAACATGGCGATTTCTCATCATTCTAGGTGTTTATGAGCCGCCGGGACAAGCTGGCGTGTGTACATGAGCCTTTTGGCGATGCGTTCTATTATGGCCCTGAGCGGACTGGTGAGCGTTTCGAGAACGACGCTGAGGGCAGAGAGAAGTCTGGCTTCGCCGAGACGACGTATGCCGATGTTCTGAGGCAAATCGAGGAGGCCGGCAAAGATGTATGTTTTTTCCTCTCCCCCTGATTCCCTTTTCCCCTCCAAAGACATATTTGCCCCTCATTATGAGGTCGTCGTCTTTCCGATCGCGATCTCACCCGCACACCCCTCCACACTATTCCCGCCCATGCATTCCCCTATAGTACGCTACTCCCCCAACCCCTGGCAAATTGAGTTGCAGAGCTTCTACGACCCCCAGTCATAACCACCGTCAATTCCAAACTTGCCCTTCCACGCCCCAAAATGATTCAATTTTCGGTCGGAGGTGCTCTTTGAAGCTTCAAACAGAGCTTCTCGAAACTCTGGATTGATTTCGATTGAAGCGGCGTTTGATGACTGGGGGTGCTGGCGTGCGTGCACCCGGGGAAGCTTTGCAACGCAGCCGCCACAATGTCGCGCATCGCCGCTCAGCGTTCCCTGGTACCCTTGCGGAGCTTTTAGAGTCGCGACCAACGTCGCATTCGACCTATTGCTCAACACCACCACCACAGAACTATGATGATGCTATATCCCAATCAACCAGATCACTAACACCCAACCACAGAAGCGCGCCTTCATCAAGGATATGGCTTACTACATCATCCCGCCCAACCAGCAAAAAGCCTCCATCGTCCCGTCCGCCGGCAACACGGCCGAGCCCACCAACCCCACCGTCCTGCCCTTGAGCATCCTCCGCAAGTTCCAGTGGACGTTCCTCATCCGCCACCCGCGCCGCTCCATCCCCTCGTACTACCGCTGCACCCAGCCGCCCCTGGACGCCGTGACGGGCTGGACAAACTTCAACCCGTCCGAGGCCGGTTACGAAGAGCTCCGCCGTCTCTTTGATTACCTCATTCGTGAGCGCATCGTCGACGAGAAGGACTTGTTGGTCGTCGACGCTGATGACATGCTTGACGACCCCGAGGCTGTCATCCGCGCCTACTGTGCCCACGTTGGCCTCGACTTCACCGACAACATGCTTAACTGGACCGATGAGGACACCAAGGTCGCCCAGGAGAAGTTTGCAAAGTGGAACGGCTGGCACGATGATGCCATTGGCAGCACGTCGCTCAAGCCGCGCGACAAGAAGCATGTAAGTCACCCCTAACCCCTACCCCTGATCGGCTGGTGCTTTACTGTTGTTCTGTACCCCCTCCCAAACGAAAATTATTCCCCAGAAAGAGATTGGATACAAAAAAAGGACCTGCCTGTTTGCTTGGGCGCTTTTGAAATCACTTCCTTGAAACTCGCTGGATATTTTTTTGACCTTTGGTGTGGCGGACGAACACACACTAGACACTAGTGTGGGGTATATTTCGCAGCATGCTAATTCCCCGCGAGAAAAAGGTCATCACCCGTGAGTCCGAAGAGGCTGAATGGCTCAAGAAGTACGGCGAGAAGGGTCTCAAGGAGATCCGCGAGTGCGTCGATGCCAACGTCAAGGATTACGAGTACCTCAAGAAGTTTGCCATTCAGATCTAATTCCTCCGTGTCTGGACAAGTACGGATGGGTGTACACGTGCGGATACACAACGTACACTTTTAACGAAGTTGATGACCAAGAACGCCCACCAACCAAGGGATGGAATTTACACATGCATATTTTGATTATAAAACGGGAAATCGGGCTTCTTTTTTCTTGAACGGAACAGTTCGATATAGGGATTTAGGGAAACTTTAGGAGGTTTTTCCATCAGGGACTTTGAAATCGGTCCATCATGGGTTCAATGTAACCGTATTGATACAATAGTCTACATGGCAATGCCAATAACCAGCCACTTCTAACAGGACTGCGTAGATGACTTGCAAAGTCTTTTCTTCCTTAATGAACGAAGAACCATGCCATCGCACAATACTTACTCCGCGTCCATTTTTCTTGATGTACACATTTTCTCCGTATTGTGACAAAAAAGGTCTCGGCCAAAAATCTTACACGATAGTGCTGCTGCTTGCTCTCGTTCCCCTAGCTCTCGCCCCATACATAGACTTTCATATCTATGCCTTGGTATCGGCCTTGGCGTCAACCTTGCTGTCTTTCTCGTCCTTGCTCTCCTCCTTGCCCTCCTCCGCCACAGGCTCCTTGATGCTGTAGTTGGTATCGTCCCCAGCGCCCTGCACAGGCTCCGCAGCCGCCTTGGGCGCCTCCACCTCGGCGACAACCTCCTCCTCGGGGTCGAACTGGTTCTCCTCCAAGAGCGCCTTGGCGTCCTGGAACAGGTCGTGCGTGACGTTGCCGGACCACGCCTGCGCAAAGTTGCGGTCGTCCTCGTTGGCCCAGTATATCGTCGCGGGCAGCAGCTCGTCGACGGCCGGCGCCTTGGTGGCGCCCTCTTGCACCTCGCCCTCTCCTTCGCCAGACTGGCTGACAATTTCCGTCTTGGCCGGCGGCGCCTTGGACCACTTGCGGCCCTCCAGCGCCTTGCCCTCCTCGAGCACGGCCTTCTTCTCGCGGCTGCTGACGACGAGGCGGTTGCCGCGGCCGAAGCCGGCGAGGACGGCGGCCATGTCGGCGATGGAGTTTGCGCGCTGGTCGTTGAGGGCTAGGGAGCGCTCGTGGCGGTTGCGGACGATTTTGCGGACGCGGACGAGGTCCTCGGGGGCGGGCTTCGTATCCTCGGCGGCGGGGGCGTCAGCGTCTTCTGTCTCGCCGGCGACGGAGTATTTGACGTCGTCTACGGCACCAGCAGCAGCGGCGGCTTTGTCCTTCTTGACGCCCCACGGCTTGATGGCCTTTGGCTTGAGGAGCTCGGTGCGCTTCTCCCTGTAGAGGAGGTCGTCCTCCCAGGCGAGCTCGTGCATGCGGCGGAACTCGCGGAGCTTTTGGAAGACGGACTGGCCTGCTGCGCCGGCGCCGGCGGGGAGCTGGATGAGGGCCATGGGGGCCCAGTAGTCGCGGCGGAGTTTTGCGGGTTTGGACTTTTTGCCGTTGAAGGGGAGTTGTTTGAGGGCTCGGTGGGACTATGTAGGTTTGGCGATGTTAGCTGAGCTTCTTCTTCTTCTTTCAACATGGTCCAAGAGAAATCTGCCATTGGCTGCCCCAATTGGCTAGCAACAAGGCCTCCAAAACGTACCTCGAGCTGCTTTGTGTGCGAGTAGATGACCTGGTTCGAGGTCAGGTGGCTCCAGACCCAAATCTGCTCGCCGTGGCCCGGCTCAAAGTTGGTGAGCTCATGCTGGGGCGTCCTGCGTCGCGACCGCGTGTGGCCATGCCGTATACTCGTCCGGGCGACGCCAAAGGACAGTTTTGAGAAGCGAAATACCGGGACCGAGTTCATCGTTGCTAGCTTTGCGGCCGATCGGTCGATGAGGACGTATCGTTTCGTTTCGTTCGTTCGTCGTCGTCGTCGGCAACCCCCTAAACTTCTCGGGACGGGCAGCTTGACAAAATTTCCCGAAGCTCTGGAACCTGTCCCCCCAGGCCCGCGCCGGTAGTGTGGCTGACCTGTGGCTTGACGCTGGAGGTCACATGATTCAAGTGCCACCAGCCACATCGGACAAAACGTTCCTTGGCGGCCTTATCCATAATCTTGATAAGGTGATTATGATAACAGGTCCGTGCGCTCAGAGCGAACCCCGCGGTTTGGGCTCGGTCGGTGCTCAGATTCTAGTGACGTCGCGCGACTTCTACCAGGTTCTGGTCGCTGCCCTACGACTTCCCGGCCTTGCCAGCGCATGCTGGATCAGTCCATCCTCTTGGCCCACTTCCAGGTTTACGGTCTGGATGAACCTCACTTTGCAAGCATAAATTCAACATTGCAATCAAACTTCAACCGGCTTCTCTTCTCAAGTCACCAAGCTAATTCTTGCACATATTGAGATACCCCGTTGAATGATAGACTCTTCAACTTGAAGCCATTCTGAGCTTCCTTCAACAACCATACCTCACGTATAACCACTCTTAATTACCCACCACTCAACCTCACAAGACAAACCACGCAACCACACACAATCGCTACCACAACTACACCACCAACATGAATTCACGAATGGAATTCACCGACAGAGGCGAGAAGGCCGTGCAGGATGCCATGGCCCTCGCGGAGCAGTACGCCCACTCCCAGCTGCTCCCCGTCCACCTCGCCGTCTCCCTCCTCGATCCCCCGGCAGACCTCTCAAAGGACCAACAAAACGGCCCGCCGCAGACGTCCTCCATGTTCCGACAAGTCATTGAGCGCGCCCACGGCGACCCGCAACTCTTTGACCGGGCACTCAAGAAGACGCTCGTCCGCCTGCCGAGCCAAGACCCGCCACCGGACCAGGTCTCCGTCGCACCCACATTCCACGCCGTCCTCCGCAAGGCGCAAGAGCTGCAAAAGACGCAAAAGGACTCCTTCATCGCCGTCGACCACCTCATTCAGGCCCTCGCCGAGGACCACACAATACAAGCCTGCCTGCGGGACTCCAACATCCCCAAGGCGAAGCTGGTGCACGATGCCGTCACTCAGATCCGCGGCACGAAGCGGGTGGACAGCAAGAACGCCGACACCGAGGAGGAGCACGAGAACCTCGCCAAATTCACCATTGATATGACGGCCCTGGCCCGTGAGAAGCAACAAGACCCGGTCATTGGCCGCGAGGAGGAGATCCGCAGAGTCGTGCGGATCTTGTCCCGCCGTACCAAGAACAACCCGGTCCTCATCGGTGAGCCCGGTGTCGGTAAGACTACCGTCGTCGAGGGTCTCGCCCAGAGAATTGTTAACCGCGATGTTCCCGACAACCTCAAGGCGTGTAAGCTGCTGTCGCTCGACGTCGGCGCCTTGGTGGCCGGAAGCAAGTACCGCGGAGAGTTTGAGGAGAGAATGAAGGGCGTCCTGAAGGAGATTCAGGAGTCCAAGGAGATGATTGTCCTCTTCGTCGACGAAATACACTTGCTCATGGGTGCTGGCTCTTCAGGCGAGGGTGGCATGGACGCCGCCAACTTGCTGAAGCCTATGCTCGCCCGTGGTCAGCTGCACTGCATCGGTGCGACGACCCTCGCTGAGTACCGCAAGTACGTTGAGAAGGACGCCGCGTTCGAGCGTCGATTCCAACAGGTTCTCGTCAAGGAGCCTTCCATTGCCGAGACCATTTCCATTCTCCGTGGTCTCAAGGAGCGGTACGACAGACATCACCGCGTTACCATCCTCGACAACGCCTTGGTAGCGTCTGCCAACCTCGCCGGCCGCTACCTTACGTCGAGAAGGCTTCCCGATTCTGCCATTGACCTGGTCGATGAGGCTGCTGCTGCAGTTCGCGTCGCCAGGGAGTCGCAACCCGAAATCATTGACTCTCTTGAGCGCAAGCTCCGTCAAATCATGATTGAGATTGCCGCTCTGGAGAAGGAGAAGGATGAGGCGTCCCAGACTCGTCTCGTCCAAGCAAAGAAGGATGCCAAGAACGTAGAGGAGGAATTGGAGCCTCTTCGCCAGAAGTACCTCAGTGAGATCAAGAGAGGCGAGGAGATTCACTTGGCCAAGACGAAGCTCGACGAACTCGAGAAGCGTCTTGAGGATGCTGCCAACGCCGGCAACCACGCCAAGGCCGCCGACCTCCAGTACGGCGCTATCCCCGAGCAGCGCGCCGTCATCAAGGAACTCGAGGCCAAGAAGGCCGCTGCCGACGCCGCTCTCAACGCGTCAGGCCAGGACCACGGCGCCATGGTCACTGACGTTGTCACCGCCGATCACATCAACGAGATTGTGGCCCGCTGGACCGGCATTCCCGTCACTCGCCTTAAGACCAGCGAGAAGGAGAAGCTTGTCCTCATGGAGAAGCAGCTCGGCAAGATCGTCGTTGGTCAGAAGGAGGCTGTCCAGGCCGTCGCCAACGCCATCCGCCTGCAGCGGTCTGGTCTCAGCAACCCCAACCAGCCGCCCAGCTTCCTGTTCTGCGGTCCATCCGGTACCGGTAAGACTCTCCTGACCAAGGCGCTCGCCGAGTTCCTCTTCGACGACTCCAAGGCCATGATCCGCTTCGATATGTCCGAGTACCAGGAGCGCCACGCCCTTAGCAGAATGATTGGTGCTCCCCCGGGATACGTCGGACACGACGCCGGTGGCCAGCTCACCGAGGCTCTCCGCCGCAAGCCCTTCTCCATCCTCCTCTTCGACGAGGTCGAGAAGGCTGCCAAGGAGGTCTTGACCGTTCTGCTCCAGCTCATGGACGACGGCCGCATCACCGACGGGCAAGGCCGTGTCGTCGACGCCAAGAACTGCATCGTCGTCATGACCTCCAACTTAGGTGCCGAGTACCTCACAAAGTCCACCAACCGTGAGGGCAAGGTCGACGCTACCACTCGCGAGCTCGTCATGAACGCCCTCCGCAACTGGTTCCTGCCCGAGTTCCTCAACCGCATCAACTCGACTGTCATCTTCAACCGCCTCACCCGCCGCGAGATCCGCAAGATCGTCGACATCCGCCTGCAGGAGATCCAGAAGCGGCTGGAGGGTAACGGCCGCAAGGTATACATTGACGTCTCGGAGGAGGCCAAGGATTACCTCGGC